AGCTGTCCCCCCTGCACTGTCATAGAAAGACTAAGAAGGCCAAGTCCAGGGCTGGTCAGAAGCTTGTATGCTGCACCAGACTCCAAATGGCACTGGTTTGGACGCGGCTGCCTCACAAGTATTAACCGCTTTAGCTTGCAACCACCCCAATGATGTAGGAACTATCACTACCTCCATTTTACAGATATGGAACTAAGAACAGACAGACCAAGATACCACATCTTTAAAGGTATATGGGGCTGGAAACAAAGTCGAAATCTCTCATTTTTCATTCCATAACCACACTAAGGGCTTTGTCGTGTCATGGTTCCCTCCCTGTCCAGTTCAGGTCTCCTGTTCCCCAAAGCACAGGAGGGCACGCTTTATCCACGTGAATGGGAGCCACAGTGGGCACCGGTCCCCGGTGTTCTCCACCCTCTTCCATGCCATCTGCCTTTTCTAATCTATACACATCCCACCTCTCATTTCATTACACAACACGGTGCCACCCATGCCCTGAAGTAAGCAGGGCTCCAAGCTAAGGTACATTCCCTACTCCCAGTGGAGCCTCCCGAGAAGGCACCCACATAGCTCAGAAAGACCAGGGTGGGATCCACATACCCTAAGGGTGTGTCTGGGGTTGGGGTGGAGAATTCAAAGCACAACCCCCACCCCTCTGCAGCATCACCAAGGTCCACCTGCATGTGTGTTATTGGGGGAGCCATTTCCTATCAGCTCCTTTCCCATTTTACAGCCCACAATTCCAGAAGAGTGCCACTTGTTGCTGGGCAGCTCCTTTACTCTCCTCTAAATGACCTTGGCTGGGATGCTGGCTGCCCGCTCCCTCCCTCCCCTTTTCCTCTGCTACCTTAAGAAGCAGTAGCCGAAGCCCCGGCTGTGCCTCCTGATGGCTACTGGGTTATTTATGGCACAAAATAACCCCCAGGTATCCTTGAATGAGCATCAGGATCCAACAGCCCTGTTGGCTGTTGCATTCCCTCCCTCCCTGTCTCTTTCCGTGCCTCTCCCTTGCTCCCTCTTTATCTTTAATGCTCCGGAGCACACACTGTGAATCATTTCACTCCATCATCAGCAGACACAACACGTGTGGTTGCAGGTCCACAGAGATGCTGACAAAGGCTCACGAGCCCTCTGGCAGCAAAAAAGGGAGAGATCCTGCCTACCCTGATCTGTTCAGACTGGAGGATGACTTGGTTTTAGCAGGGGAGGGGACCCCAGTGAGAGCCATCGTCCTTTCACTATCACGAGCACACCGTCATCTCGGCCCACCCCAGCCCAAACAGCTATTGCTCAGCCAGCAAAGCACATCTCGTGCCAAGTAACAAGATGCCAAGGCAAGGACAACCTGGAAAGCCAGGCCCCCGCCAGGTGCAAACAAATGCCATGACTTGCAACAACTGTACAGAAACCCCTCCCTACACACCTTCCCCCCCCCAACCCAGAGTACCACTTTTTCAGAGTCATCCCGGCATCACAGACCATTTGGATGGGAAGGGGGGGTCACATCTAGCCCCACCCTCTGCTCAAAGCAGGACCATCCCCACCTAGATCATCCCAGCCAAGGCTTTGTCTACCTAGAAATAAAAACACCTCCAAGGATGGAGATCCCACCGCCTTCCTCCACCTTGTGTGGCGGGGGCTGGTTTCGGTGCAAGAGCTTCCCCCGGAGCACAGCAAAGCCTCTGCATCCCGGGCCACTCAGCCCCTCGCCCCCAGCCCCGGGGCCGGACTATCCCCGCCGGCGGGGCTGGGCTGGGCGTGCAAAACCCCGCGGCTCTCTGAAGGCGATCGCGGCTGCACCAGGTGGGGCAAGAAGATGCTGGGGGAGCCCCCCCGTGCTGCCCTTACCTTTGGGCGGTCCATGGGGCTGGAGCGATCCGAGCCTGCTCCCTGATGCGCCGCGCTGCCTGGCTGGGCCGGTCCTTGCTGCAGACCCTTCCTAAGGTCGATGCCACACGCTAGAGGCTTATGACTCAAAGCCGCTATTTAAAGCCTTGGTGAAGGGGCGGGGCAGGGACGAGCCCCCGCC